AAAAAAAAAAAAAAAAGGGCCCAGCGTCCCATAACAAGTACGTTCAGAAAGCTTCAAGGAACTACTAGAAAATCTAATTGGCCTAAGGATGGAATTTTGGGACATGAGATACCGGGGCCATTACCCGGCTTTGGCTCGGAGAAATTGGAGCTACTTCAGACATGTCTATGACAACTTCATGATTAAGCAAAATTTCGAAACGCCTCGGAAAACCCCCCATCAATCCACTTTACCTCACTCCGGCAAGACTGACTGCAGCGGAGCCACCATCTCTGCTGCTGCTATGCCATACTCCCATCCTACCAGCTAGGCCCCTCACTGGTAGGACGCGTGATAACCCACCATCTTCTCCAACTCACCTTATTCTCTTTTTGAGGTACCTAAGAACTCTTACCGTCGTTCCAGAAGCATGAGAATAGGCCATAGAGGTCCTACGATTGTTCCAAAAACCTTGAAATCCCACACAAACCCTTCGGATCCAACGTTCTCCAAAACTGTCGTACTCTCTGCCGATCTCTTCTTGGTCTCACGCCCCCACTTCTGCTGGGTTACAGGGCAACGCAACTCACCCCAGCTCCGACCAGCGTCGTCCCAGCAGCAACCCTTGGTTGTCCCGTGAAAAGCCCACCCCGAGACTTCCCCATATCTCTCTACCAGACCTCACGCTCCTGCATCGCAGGTTACAGGGCAACACCCCAGCACCGGTCAGCGTCGTTCTGGCATCGAACAACCGCAGATCACTGAGTATAACAGCATTGAAGCCACCTAGGACGAGTTAGTAGGGATCCCAAAGTCCTAAAAAAACATTCCTAGGACCACTAAGCACCCAACTCTTTTTGGGATGTTAAAAAATCTTTAGAAAAATATAAGAGCGGGGGGGGGCAAGACTAAAACTGCCTACTATCCTAGATTCCCCCTTCCAACATATGGAGCGTCGGTCCAGGTTTTCAGTTCTCGTACCAGAACTCACTTGATCTCATACCCCCTTCTGCTAGCGTAACAGGGCACCACAACCCTCCCCAGTACCGATCAACCTAGTTCTGGCGGACAGGAAGTGCCTTCCTCCCTCGACAATTCCCTTAGTGGCGAGCCCCTATGCAGGTTACAGGGTCAATACCCCGGCGCCAAAAAGGGGAGAATCATATGCCAGTTTGGGATTCTTCATCTTCGCTCAAAGGAGGCTGCAGGGCCTGCCATCATCAGGCACTAAACATTGAAGAGATTATTCAGAGATGGCCGAGACCCCAAGTATGCTCACATAAGGCCAACCAGCCACCAAGCTCTCGAGTGGCAAATCGTGCATCGATGCCTACCCACCTCGGACTGGTTGGTCTGCAGGTCCAACCTGACACAGTAAGGTATTCCTGTTTTTTTTTCTTTGGAAAACATCTGTTGCTGGCCAACTACCCAGAGGGTGGTAGGATCAACCCCCCGGTTGGAGGCCGCCATTAGATGGCTCAAACTATCGGTGGAGAGCTGCACGTTCAGGAAATTGGGTCCAGTGTCCCTGTGACAAATTATGTTCTTACTGTGGTAAGTCATCCCTCCAAGGAAGAGCCACATTCTCACTGTGGAAAGTCGGGGTTAACGGGGTCATTTGATCTCATTTGCTCAGCCACTGAATGGTGGGGGTAGAGGACGGTAGGGAAACCACCATCTAAGGGTGTTTACAAAAGTTGGGCAGAGGGATATGGAGAACGGATCTAGCAGGATCTACCAGGGTAGAGCAGGGCTTGCAGGGTTAGGAAGGTTTTTCCTAGGCTCCACAAGGTCTCTTAAGGGGCTCCAAGTCACAAGAAGTCGGGCACACACACACAGCTAACTTCTTCCCCCGAACATAAGGCATATGCCTTGTATTCGAGTTTCAAAATTTGAAAAAAAATCGAATAGAATGCACCCTGCGCATTGTATTCGTTTACAACGCATGTGCGTTATGTTCGGGGGTTTACAAACGTACTAGTAGGTAAAATGGGCTCTAAGCCCAGTGGGGAAGCATACACCACAATAGGCACAATGGGGGACAACTGGGCACATGACGAATTTATACTGGGATGCTGGACATCTTACAATTAGCAACAACAGACAACATATAACAATTGGCTGCACAAGACAAACACAGATTGTGCAGGGACGCTGGACCCGCTTTCCAGCAGATACATTCACATCATTGTACAGGGACGCTGGACCCGATTTCCAGCAGGTGCAGCTCCCCATCAATAGATGGAGCCTTCAATGCTGGGACCCACTTAACGGGGCTGCTTTCATCACCTCGTGAAGTGGGCCTCCCCGCATATGGAGTTGTCAAAAAAAAAAAAGAAAAAAAAGAAAATGAAAATGAAAGAGCCACATTGGAACACTGCCTACTAGCATGGCTACCCAAGCCTGGAGATGGTGGGATGCTGCCTTTTTTTTCCTTCTTTTTTTCCTTAAACCGACCCAGGTTGCTAGTGGTGATGGTAAGAGCATCCACCACTAGCAGCCCAGCTACGGGCTCCAGTCTATTAGTGGGGAGCTGCACCTGCTGGAAAACTGGTCCAGCGTGCCTGGCATTTTCTAGTGGTATTCCATATCCCATGGTATTATCGTGCTTGGCAGGCCATCCCAAACCTTGGACAATGGGACGTGTTTGCGACAAACGTATATTTCAAACACATGCAATTAACAGTGCTAATGGTGATCTGGAGGACAAGATGATAGGAAACAGAAAACTCTTGGCTTTTTTGTTGGGGGGGGGGGCGCGCTGCCCTTAACTCTTGGCTTCATGCAGGAAGAGGCTGAATTCATGGGAACAATCAGGGCTCATACCTTGGGGACCGAGAACAACTTCAAAAAGGACCTTCGTCGGGAAAAGGGGTAGGCAATTCACAGTCCACAGAGTCAATCTCCTCCTCGTGAGTAAGAGGAAAAAAAAAAAAAAAAAAAAAAGAATCAATGCGATCTGGGGTGGTTGACAATTCTTTCACACACCCACGTGTTTCGAAAAGGGACACTGAACCCGATTTCACGCCAGGTGCAGCTCCTGACCACAAGATTGGAGCCATCAAAGCGGGAGGAAGTTTGGAGGAAACTAATATCGGAGGCTGGTTATACCAGGGGAGGGGGCTTAGCAGGCCTACTAGGGGGAGTGGGCTTTCTAGGGGAGGCTGGTCATATCACCCCCCTCCGATATCAGGTTATACCAGGGAGGGTGATATGAGCAGCCTCCCCTAGTAAGCCCACTCCCCCTAGTAGGCCTGCTATGGCATGTCTTTGGGGGGGAAAAAAGAAAAAGAAAAAAAAAGAGGCCGGTTATGCCAACCCGGATAGTCAGTTCTCAGTGATGTTCAAAAGCGGCAAAAAAAAAAAAAAAAAAAAAAAAAAAAAGAAAAAAAAAAAGAAAAAAGGTTAGGCAGGCAGATGAATGGATGGATGAATGTTTTGTTTCGAGTCTTTTGACTTTGTGACCTACTGACCCTGCGGCATGTGCACGTGTGTGTGTGTGTGTGTGTGTGTGTGTGTGTGTGTGTGTGTGTGTGTGTGTGACTTTACCATCATAATACTATGGTTACGCAAATTGTGGCAAAGAAAGCGAAGTATGCATGAGGAGTCACAAAGGAGACGGAGCGAACAGATTGCTCAAGAGAACCTGGCCCTTCTGAAGCGCATTCAAGATAAACAACGAAAACCATCGAAGGAACTGGATGCGAGTCTTCATGCCAAATCATGGAGAGAAAAACAGAGTATGCATTGTACCATTATGATTGTCAATCCATGTTATTTGCATGATCCTTTCTTCTTTTTTTAAGTTCTTTTGAGAACCAGCTTCCCCCTTAGCAGCCTGTTGCCATGGCCCAGTCATAGGGCAACAGGTCTGCTTACCTGGTAAAAAAAAAAAAGAGAAAAAAGGGGCAACAGGTCTGGTCTGCCCTATTGGTGGGGAGAAACACCAGCGGGCAACCATTGAGTGCCAGGGTCTGATAGAATACATCAGATAAGACAATGAGTGTGTTGCACATATCTGGCCTTCGGGCATATACATCTCGCTATACAGTTACACAGAGCACATATATAGCCTTTGGGCAGACACAAACATGGCTCGTGAAAAACATACACATAGCCTACGGCCGCCTACAAACATACATAGCTATGATATCGGGTTGGGGGGAGTCTATCAGGTACATGACGGGGTCTACCCGTGCATGGCTTAGCTCCAGGGTAGGGTAGGGATATAAGTTGCTCCGGCTAGTCTGAGTTCCGCTTAGCCTTGGGTAAGTTAGGGGAAGGACGGTATGATGTGTCTGTGGGTTCTGGCTTGCATTGCTTAGGTACTCCTGCTGGGTAGACTCTCTGAATTGGGCCTGTAGAAGATTGCATGAGCCTGGCGTCCGAAGTTCCCGTACGGCAAGGTTCGTTCGCTGTAGCTTCCGCTTCCGCTTCCACTAGGGCCTGGGGGTTGGCCCAGTCTTGGTGCTTATCACTGCTGCCTGGTCCAAGTTGCCCTCGATACTGGTAGGGTGATGAGACCCCTGAGTGCTGGCCACACTGAGGTAGGATAGTAGGGACAGGGGGTACGCTGGGAGTATTAACGTGGGGATGGGTAGGGTAGGTAGCCTATCCTGTCAGGACAACCATTGGCTGCCGCTGCCAACAATCACCGAGGGTCAAGTCCTTGGCCTCTACATCAGTCGTCTAAGTTCCTGATTGCTTGGTTGATTGGTGGGTTGGCTGGTATAATCAGAGCAGCTGAAGATCTCAAGGTACTCCTGGAATGAGCTACACCCCCCCCCCCCCCCCCCCCCCCCCCCCC